AATTTGTGCAACGCATTTTATGGACGACAGTTTTTTGAACCTAGAAGAGTACAAGGCTGGCTGTGCACAAAGGCTATTTCTAAAAAAAAAAAGGGTCAATTCCGACTTTGCTATGACAATCTGGCGCTTCTGAATCAGCGACTGTAAGTATGTTTTAATATTAGTTTAAGTATTTGCTATTGACTGTTCAAATGCGGAGTTTTGCGCAGCGCAGAGTAACGCGTCGTGTGTGTGTGTGTGTGAGGGGAACAGGGTCACATCACAGGAGAGTGAACTGCCTGTCAGAAATCACAGCACGTCAGCTGTCTTAACCGCGGCTTGTGTACTGCATCATCACTGTGTCTGTCACGCGACTGGCCAAGCTGGCCAATCAGAGCAGACTGCGCTTGTCAAAGGAGGGGGCTTTGTTGAAAATTACGTGTTTGAGAGAGGCGGGGCATAGAGGACCTACAATAATGTACAGTATTTGAAAAATTATTTGTTTTTTGAACATTAAAGCATGTCAACATATTCTGTTACACCAAATACACAAAATAATGATCTTTAAAATAGCATCATATGACCCCTTTAAGTTTACTCAAATGATTGACACTAATACAAATCAGACATGTTAGCTCAGTTTCAAAACCTAGCGAGTTGCCTACCTAGACACCATGTAAGATACTTTGTTTCAGCCTCATTTTAAAGGGATAGTTCACCCAAAAATTAAAATTCTGTCGTTTACTCACCCTTGCGTTGTTCCAAACCTGAATGAGTTTCTTTTTTCTGTTCAACACAAAAGAAGATATTTTGAAGAATGTTATTAACCAAACAGCTGCTGGTAGCCATTGACTTCTATAGTAAGAAAAAAAGTGGAAGTAAATGGGGACCAGCAACTGTTTGATTACTCACATTCTTTGAAATATTTTATTTTTTGTTCAGCAGAAGAAACAAACTTCTATAGGTTTAGAACAACATGAGGGTGAGTAAATTATGACAGAATTTTCATTTTGGGGTGAACTATCCCTTTAAGACAACACTGCATGTGTGCTTCACAGGTTTCATTTAATTTAGAATGATACTTAAAGGGTTAGTTCACCCAAAAATGAAAATTCTGTCATTAATTACTCACCCTCGTGTTGTTCCAAACCCGTAAGACCTTTGTTCATCTTCGGAACACAATTTAAAATATTTTTAATGAAATCTGAGGGCTCTCTGACTCTACCATAGACAGCAAGATAACTACCATGTTCAAGGTCCAGAAAAGTACCAAGATGATCGACAAAGTAGTCCGTGTGACATCAGTGGTTCAACTGTAAAATTACGAAGCTACGAGAATACTTTTATACGTGTGGCGGCGCTGACCCAGATCCGGCATAATGACGTCATCACGCCGGATATGGGTCAGCGCCGGCGCCGCCACACGCTCGCGTCATGATACTGTCGTGAACGCGCATCCACAAGTGACACAGTAGAGACGAAAATGTGGAATTAAGTCATTATTTTTGTTTTCTTTGCACAAAAAAGTATTCACGTAGCTTCGTAACTTTACAGTTGAACCACTGATGTCACACGGACTACTTTGTCGATCATCTTGGTACTTTTCTGGACCTTGAACATGGTAGTTATCTTGCTGTCTATGGTAGAGTCAGAGAGCCCTCAGATTTCATCAAAAATATCTTAAATTGTGTTCCGAAGATGAACGAAGGTCTTACGGGTTTGGAACGACACGAGGGTGAGTAATTAATGACAGAATTTTCATTTTTGGGTGAACTAACCCTTTAAGTAGACGGCAGACAGAGAGGCAGCCCACTAGAGTTTGAATTAGAGCTACTGTGTGAATTCAAAGGCAGTGTTGTCGTGAAACATCACAAGTTAGGATTTAATCTGACTGAAAACACAGCAAGGAGACACTAGGATTTCCCCCTTGGGGAAAGTATTCTATGCTAGGCATTAGCGACTATACATTTAAAAATGTAACTCAAAGAAGGCGGCTTGGATCATTGAACAATCCAGTCTAAAGTTAAATTTACATCAACTGTGGACTCCTTCGAACATTTTCCGTACCTTTTTACATTCTTGCATCCTTTTAAGCCTCAGACTCTGATTGGTCAGTGGTCACACTGCCGTTCTGCTCTCCTACAACCGATTGGTCCTGGGTATTTGTAACTCCGCCCACAGTAAATGTTGGCCCGTCTCCCTCCCTGACAGATTCTGAATCAGTGGACTTCCCCGTTTGCTCAGTCATATTAGGCCCCTCCCATTTCTCTTCATCAAGCCGACTGGAGATCGACCAATAGAGATGAGCATCCAAACGGGCGGCAGCCAATGCCAGGTCTCTCGCAGAACAGGAGGGCGTGTTCACCTTTGAAGGATCATGAACAACGTTAGTAAGTGTATTTAAATCATTTATCTAAATCTTCATTCTGTGAATGATAGATAAAAGACATAAATCCTGCTCAATTTGATTGCATCTGTCCATTTACATACATTGAAATATTTTGTAATTTACACACGCATGCATATATTTAAAAAATAAATATTAATTAAAAAAGTTAAAAAACAAATTTAAAATATTTTGATATATAAATATTAACTAATTATCACAATATTATTTCTTTAAAAAACTTAAAATGGTTTAATGTAGCTTTACATAAAAATATCTATATATAAATATTAATAAAAAAAATTATATGAATTAAAATGGTTTATTAATTAAATACAATTAAATATGAACTAATCTAAAAATATTTTATAAATATTAACTAATTATCACAATATTATTTATTTATTTATTTATTTATTTTTTAACTTGTAGTTTTGTTGTAGTTTTATACAAAAATACTCTTTGGCTGAAGGATAGAAGGTGAGAATGTGATTGAGTAAGTAGTTTGATTGCTTCCAGTGACGTGCATTTATGACTAATCCAAAACTACATCAACACCTAATGCAGGATTTTTGATTGATTATGCACATAAAATCCCATATGTAAAGAAGAGACATTTCTGATTTTGCGCTATAATAAAATGCTGGTCAGCCTTGCACAGACAGATGATTATTACAGAGCCTTTGATATCAACATACAGTATATTAGTTAACTGAAAACTTTGTAAGGGATTTAAGAAAAAAACTATATAAGAGATGATGCACACTGCAAAATAAAACCCAGATATGGTGATACAGCTACTTAACAAACAAATAAATACATGCAAATGAAACATTGATTTAGCCCAGGGTATGGTCAAGGATGAATTATACACTTTAGCGTCATTACACTCTTAAAAACAGATTTAGCCATATATTTTTGGTTCCCCAAAGAACATTTCAGTGAACAGTTCTTAAAACAACAGTTTTTTTAGTGCAAAGAACATTTTTTATAACCTAAATAACCTTTTCCACTATTAAAGGGGTCATATGATGCGATTTCAATTTTTCCTTTCTCTTTGGAGTGTTACAAGCTCTTGGTGCATAAAGAAGATCTGTAAAGTTGCAAAGACTAAAGTCTAAAATCCAAAGAGATATTCTTTATAAAAGTTAAGAGTCAGCCACACCTACCTAAAACAGCTCGTTCTAACAAGCCCCCACATGTATACGTCACTGTGTGGGAAGATTTGCATAACGCCGCCCAAATGTTCACACAAAGAAAGAAGGCGTAACTTTTATTCTCGCTGTAGTATTGTTGTTGTAGTATTGCACACCATGTCATGAAGGCGCCGTGTGCTTCTTTGTGAAAGCGAAACTACTTTGTTTGGCCTTCCAAAAGAGGACGATATCTGCTTCGTCATGCCTGGAGCTGATCCGTGCTGGTTGCTGAGGAAATACAACAACTTTGCGCTGTGGACCACCGGATCGGCTTTCACCGTGGACGAAGCGGAGTCCAGCCCGGGGTCGTCACATGTGGTTGCCGCAAGCCTCCTTCGTCGAATCTGCAGGCCACGCCGTTCTTAAGCCCGCCGCCTCTGCTCACTCTAGCCCCCGGCCTGTTCCTCACTTTAGCC